AAGGGGTGGGAGCGTAAAATTGTTTTTTAAAACGATGGCTTAAATTAATAGGTCTTCACCTATGAAATTGCCGTTCTTTAGTACTGGTCATTGCAAACAAACAAAAGCTTTGATTGGCTGCGAGCTCTAAATTCAAATGAATCTTGTTTTAAAAACACGAAATTATTTTTACAAAGTCATTATTTCATTACATTTGAAAATGTTAGCCTTGCCCTGTACCGTTCTGGAAACTTTTGACTTGAAAAATGAACCTCTTGGAATGGAAAATTAATGTCGATTGTGGAAGCTGATGATAATCAAACTAAAGTCGAGCTAGCGGCAGCTTTTTATGTTGGCATCAAAGCTATATTGGTCCATTTGCGACAAATTGGCAAGGTGAAAAGGCTTGATAGATGTGTGTCCCACGAACTTAACCATTGCCATTAGAGATGCGCAAAACAGTGCTTCAAAAAGTAATGTGATGTTTATCACATCACTCATCGAAGTAATATCACTCAAAAGCATTACGCATTACATTACTTATTACATTACGCATTAGGTCTATGTAGGTCTATACTGTGATGATGATGTTGCGATGGCATTACAGTAACAGACAGGACGAAAGCATATTATGATTTTAATTTCATTACTATTATGTACTTAAGGATTAAAGCGTAATAAGTATATGAGTATATGATATTTCGCAACTTATTATTTAATATATAGTTATTCCGTGTTTAATAATTAAACGTAATATTCAAAATAGCCTAGTTAAAAATACAGAAGGACAAAGGCGAAGGCAAAAGCTAATATCAATAAAAATCTATTCGTCAATGATTGTCAGTTTACCCAAAGAAATTAACCTTGAACTATCTGAAAACAAATTTGAAAATATCGTCAAAAATTAATTTCTGTTGATTGGTAATCTCAGATTATACATACTCTTTTGATATCAACTCTGTCCTATTTGATTTATGTATTATGTTTGAATTACTTTAAATTTGGAATGTTAGTTTTATTTGTTCAGACTGAATTTTGTCATATTTGATAGATTCCGTAAAAATCGTTTGTAGATGTAATATGTCTAGCTGTCTGACATAACTCTTGTATTTTATATAAATTTCATAATCATTACGTTTGGTCTAAAATAAGTTCAAAATGTTTAAGTTGAAATAAACAGTTTTCCATGCAATATTAGCTTGTTTTTGTATTACAGCATGACATTCATATTTGCGCGGGGAATGCACACATTTTGGTAGTAACGTCGTAAAAAAATCATAATACTATTGCATTAAGGTCGCGATTTTATTGAAAGTAATGTAAAATATTATCCAACTAAAGCGGAGGCGCGTAATGTGATGTCGCCCGAAGCGGGCGATCACTTCGCTCGCACACGCATGATATCCTTTTCGTATTCAGCGATCGCGGAACGCGAAGTAATGCATCACAAAAAGTGATGCTCACCATACTCGCGTAATGGGTAATGCAGTATGAAATTGCTAAGTAATATTAATCTAGTGATATCATCGGCATTACTTACACATCTCTAATTGCCATATATCAAGCGCAACCAACGCGTCGAGACCTGCCTCGCGCTGATTAACAGGCACAGAAACGAAAAAGTTTTGAGCCGAATTGTTACGTGCGACAAAAAGTGGATTCTGTTCAATAATCTAAAGTGCTCAGCAAGTTGGTTAGATCCTGGGTCAGCACCAAAGCAATAACTAAACCAAAAATGACCCCTAGAAAGGTGATGGTTGGCTGTCTGGTCTAGTGCCGGTGTGATTCATCACAGCTTTTTACAAAACTGCATGAGCATTACTGCAGACCTGTACTATGCAGAACTGAAGACAATGATGGAGAAGCTCGCACATCTGCAGCGAGCTTTGGTCAATCGGTCGTCCCTTCACGACAACGCGCGATCCCAAACTGCACAGCAGACAGTCTCCAAGCTGCAAAACCTTGCACCTACCAACTATTACTTTTTCCAAAATTTGGACAACTATTTAGCGGGAAATAATTCAGTTCCCAAGAGGCAGTGCAAAATGCCTTCGGACAGTTTGTTACCTCCCGTCCAGCTGATATTTACAAGAAGGGCATCAATAAATTACCACTGTGTCGTCAAAGATGCATCGATTGCATGACTGATTGGTTACTTTAAATAAGATAAATAAAAAGTTTGAAAAAAAAAAAACTAACTTATTTCATACAAAACGGCAGTTTCATAGGTAAAGACTTACTATTAAAATTGTAAAATAAGACTAATGCTAGAAATTTTGCTTAACGGTTTTGATATCCTTACTAATATTATAAACGCGTAAGTTTGTATGTATGGATGTTTGTCTGTTACTCTTTCACGCAAATACTACTGAAAGGATTTTAGTGAAACTTCACAATAATATAGCTTTTACATCAGAATAAAACATAGACTGTAATTTATATATATATTTTATGTATATCTGTCTTTCTATCTGAATGTTACGCCTTCAGCCTATTCTAGGCAGACGTAGTCGCGGTCAGCAGCTAGTTTGACATGTATATATATTCTGATTGTTAAAATACTCTTATCAAAACCTTGTTTTACAGACCATCATAAGAGGAATACTAAAGAGTCGACACAGATGGGAAAACTTAATAAAGATTTTCAGTATCGAAATTGCCTGTTATTATTATTACCATTACTCATTGGTAGCCATAGTTCCTTCATTCATTGATCCTATATTCGTTTGTATTGAACGAATGGTCACAGAGCATAGTTATTTTAATATTGCATATTATTCATGTTTATGTTAAGCATTAATGTTTTATTTTATTCATGTTGATGTGTTCTCAATATATTGAATTTTTGGTGCGTCTAATTTGTACACTTTTGGTAACGGATACGCCTTTGCGATTCTAGCTATAGTGCAGTATACAACAGGTGCTGATGAGAATCGGCATCTGTTTCGATATTTGCATACTTTGTTTTCATCGTAAATAATTATTAGGTGTTGTTTTTCAAACATTTCTTTGTTATAAATAGTGTTACGTCGATGTTTACATGTTTGTCGCTTACTGTGTTAGGGCCATGCCACAGTGTTCACTGTTGCACGAATGGGCAGGCCCGTCCGGGTAAGTACTACGACCCCACGGAAGACCCAGCGTAAAGTAGAAGTGTTACACTTCTTAGTTTCGTCTGGTGAGTGAGCAACCTTACGGGTTTTGCAAATGTTCATGGGTACAAATTTAGATTTAGTAATTGAATTATTAAAATACAATATCATCACAAGCTCAAAAAAATTCTGTTATGTGACATGTTTAATTGCTTTATTTCGTTAAAGTTAAAACATGCTTCCCTAATGTTTAACTAATTGTCATGTCATCTCAGAATAATTCGCCAATCTTCTTTAATAAATAAAGTTTTTGATATTACAAACGTTATTTTCATTCAGCCATTGATATTTTTTTTTAATTTTTCAAATCTCTGTCTTTCTACCTGTCTGTCTGACTGCTTTGTCCATTTAGTAAGCGTTTTAACGAAATTTAATTTATAACTTTGCTGTTTTAAACGAAAATGATACCAAAAAAAGGTGTGCAATGTACAAGAGCCCAAAAAATTATAAGTAAAATCATGAATAAACACAACAGCACTGGTTTAAGCATCGAAGTCTAGCCTCGTAACCAAAATGATGACACTGAAGTAGTAACCGAAATAATGTAAACCGTAACTGAAATAATGTCCAGGTAAGACATAGTTAGTTATATAGTTATTTCACTAATATAACATTATAATAGTGAGTTAAAAATTTTGTTTCATTGTCACGAAATTTATGTTTACAACTATAAAATAAATGTAATGTGTGTATAAAATAAATGTATTGTAAAGTGTGTGAAATAACATCTGCCTTTTTATGTAGTTCGGTTTTCGTGATATCATATACGCCTTTTTTTAAACATATTTTTCTTATTACTTAGGTATTACTATTGGTTTAATAACATATTTTAGCATAAAAGCATATATTAATACTGATTCTCGTATATGGGCGGAAGATGAATAATAGAAAATCAACGATGTAAAGAGTCGAATATACAAAATCTCGAAATATATTTAAATTACACAAAAATTAGACTCAGCATGATAAATAACACTAAATGTTAACACTTATTGCAAAATTTCAAATCAGATGATATAGAACGTACCATGCGCAGAGAGATAGCAGCAGTCTATAGAATTGCAATCTAATTACACCAATTGGCATAATTTGAGTGTCTCAGTTTCGGTGCGCTAGACTCATATCTACCTCGTATTTGTATATAATATTATTGTTTTTTTTTTTATGTGAAAATTTGACAAGCGAACAGTCCGTTCCCCCCTTTTTTATGTGAGAAAGTGGCAAACGAGCTGGCGGTTCACCTGATGTTAAGTGATAACCGCCGCCCATGACATTTGCAACACCCGTAGTGTTGCAAATGCGTTGCCAACTTTAAATAAAGTGGGCCCCGGCTACCTCACTCACCAGACGAAACGCAGAAGTGTAACACTTCTACTTTACGCTGGTCTTCTGTGAGGTCGTGGTACTTACCCGGATGGACCTGCCCATTCCTGGAACAGTGAGTACTGTTGTCTGCCCTTACCACAGTTATTAAGTGATTACCGCCACCCATGTCTGGCAACAATAATCATGCATTGCCAACACATAAAACAGTGGGCTTAAATTAGTGCTTAAAATATTTAGCATAAAATAGTGGCTTATTTGCCGGATGAAACGCCTAATTAACTTTAAATGAATCCTTTAAGAAGCAATTTCAATTTTTCGATAGTAACAATGGAATGTTGATTATTAATTACGTGAATTATATATCCGACCGTGAAATGTGTTTAAATTTGCCATACGCAGCTTGATTTACGATTATTTTCTGTTCGGGTGTTCTGCTTATTGACGTTTGGTTATTTACATATAGAATATAGTCGAACTGTACTCAGTATATTTTCGGAACCTCTTCCTAAATTGAAAGGATATCATATATCCATTCAGGGGGTAATGTCGCCAACGCTTGGTTTCATCGTGATTTTATTGATTTGTGACCTATTTTCCGCACCCCAGGCAAGTTTGTGTTTTTTTTGTTATTTAATAATATCCTTAGATTGTTAGGTACACTCTATTCAAAGTAGTGAACTCAGCCGAACTCAGCCCTGCTGTGGTAGGGCCAAGCAGCAGCCTCGGCTGTTGCACGAAGGGGCAGGCTAAATACTACGGGTAAGTACCACGACCTAACAGAAGACCAGCGTAAAGTGGAAGTATAACTTTCGCGTTTCGTCTGATGAGTGAGGTGACCGGAGCTCAGTTTCCACAAAGGTTGTCAACGCGTTTGCAAAGCCTCGGGTGTAGCAGATGTCCATGGGCGGCGGTATTCACTTAACATCAGGTGAACCGTCAGCTCGTTTGGCAACTTTTCACATAAAAACAAAATTTCTCTAAAAATGTAATTGTTATTGATTTATGTAATTGTAATTGATGTAATTATAATTATAATTGATTTCTTGTTTTTGCGCTAGTATTGTACACGGTTAAATGAATCCATTTTAACGGATTTTGTAGCGTTGTAATTTGACAGTCCCGTGAACGCTGGAGGGTTTGAAATTCGAAATCGGAAATTTAAAAGTCAAATTAAAACGCGATAAAATCCGTAAACTAGTTTCATTTAAAACTCACTCAGTTAAGCCTGAATATGAGAATCCCACCCAAACCATGAGTGACGATGGAAAAAGGACTCGCAAGTTGTCCGAACTACCCATTAGAGAAGTTGCTATTTCTTCAAAGATTCAAAATACGTTGCTTCTATTCTTTCTTTTTTCTTTTCTTATTTTTTTTAAAACATTGTCCTTACTTAAGGATAGCAACCCTGTATTGTAAGGACGTTTACAAACAAAAATTTCACGTGGACAAGCACCCAGATGCGAAACAACATCAGTGGGTCAAACAAATAGTTGTCCCGTGTGGGAATCGAACCCACGACCCCATTCGCCGCAGCCAATACCGCGGCAGCCGCGCTAGGAGTCGTCTTTCCTTCCTTTTCTACTGTCGACGTTCTCACGTGTATATACATAATTATATGTTGTTCTTCTTTCATCAGGGTTCTCCAATCGATGTTTGCTTGGGAGGAGCTAAATTTTGTCATCGTGCCCTTCAAGTAAGTCTAACATTCTTATTATTAAAACCCACAAAAATCTGTAGAAGGCCAAACTCCGCCACCGAATTTAAGGTTTTTGCCGATTTATTTTGTGTAAAATTGACTGTGCCAACCATATGTTTTGATTTGCACGCACGCACGCACGCACGCACGCACGCACGCACGCACGCACGCACGCACGCACGCACGCTCGCACGCACGCACGCACGCACGCACGCACGCACACACGCACACACACACACACACACACACACACACACACACACACACATGTAGAACTCTCTTTATTCAATCTTCTTATACCTGGACAGTTACTTAAGACAAATTATTTTATGTACAATTATTCCAGCTTTGTTAACTATGCTTGATTCCGTGGGGTGAGGACCTGGTGATCTGTAATACAGGTTTTTTACACCTATAATAGACACCAGCTGATTAAATTTTTTACTGAAGCTGTACCAACTTATGATATTGTATCTTGTTGTCTTGTATTGTGAGGAGAAATAAATACATTATTATTATTATTATTATTATTATATGCGGAGACAAGACATGAGTTTCTTTATTCTCACTCCGTAATTAAAACATTACTTTATTACTTAATAAAGACGAGTCAATTCAATATGAAAATTGTATAAAGTTATTTCGCTCTGACTCTTTAGGCTACGTTTCTATTGTAGAACATTATTATACGTGATGTATTCAAATTGTGAGTTCTCGGTTGGTTCGGTGGCTGCATAGTGGCTTCCGTATCGCATATCTTATTTTCTTTTCTCACACCGAAAAAGTATTTAAGAACAGATAATTCTTTCGGACCCAAGTGTCTGTCTTTGCAAATCTTGCACAGATTAACATAAATCGAAATTAGGGATAAATGGTATTATCTATCTATATATATATATATATATATATATATAAAGGTGAATCCCTATTTCCCTTGGTCACGCCATCACGCGTGAACGGCTGGATCGATTTCGCTAATTCTTTTTTTATAATATTCCTTGAAGTAGGAAGATGGTTCTTACGGAGAGAAAAATTTAAAAAATTGCCTGAAAAAGTCTAAGAACAACAATTTTCTATATTCCCGTACAAAAGATTCGTAATAATATTTAAAAGTCAATTTGAACTTTAATACCATACCATAAAGTTTAAGTGTTAGTGGATGGGTGCCGGGAAGGCAAAACAAGTGAGTGACTGTGGTAAAATGTCACTTGAAATGTAAACGTCTCTTTGCTGTGCATCACTACATAGTATAAAACAAAGTCGTCCCGCTGTCTGTCTGTCCCTATGTACGCTTAGATCTTTAAAACTACGCAATGGATCTTAATGCGGTTTTTTTTACTAAATAGAGTGATTCAAGAGGAAGGTTTATGTGTAAAATACATTGCACCCGCGCGAAGCCGGGGCGGGTCGCTAGTTTAATATAATAATGAAGCATGCTCTAACACTTTGGAGGGTTTAAAGCGCTTCTTGTTTCACTCAGTCCGAGCTGGAAAGCTGATCTTTTGCCAGCTTTTGATTTGATTAGCGAATTTTCTGGAAATTTATTGGGTAGATATTGGACATAACTTGTGATATTAAAAATATTTTTTTAGTACAATCTTGCGTACGCAAAAACGGTATACTTTAAAGTTCTAGGTAAAGTAAAACATGTTTTTGGTATCCGTACGATATATTATAAATTACGTAAAACTTTTGTATTCTTTGCTAGCGTCTCGCACACACAAAGAAACTACGTTGGATATGGCCGTGGAAGTGGCCAAGGCCGCCGCCCATTAAGCCGCCGCCCAATAAGCCGCCGCCCAATAAGCCGCCGCCCAATAAGCCGCCCAAGCCGAAACCTGATATGCCTGATATAGCTGATGTGAGTAATCTAATATGTTATAAATTAAAGTAATTTTACGGATTTATCGCGTTTATTTTTAATTTAAATTTCCTACGTTTCGAACCCTTTACAGCGTTCATGGTCATGGGACAGACTGAGGCGTTGGACGTCTGATGGTCATTGTTAACCCAGGCTACCGTCAGTTTTTGAATTGCTAAATTTGTGTCCGATGTATGCAGAAGGAGCTAATTGTATCTTGTCTTGTAGTAGTGGTTTCGTTTAGGCCTAGATTTAATTTTATTGATGAGAAGAGGTCTTCTTCTCTATTGAAATTAGGATGTTTTTTAATTTCAATAGCCTCGCGAATCATCATTGGGAGAGGAATCGGTGTTTTTTTGCAAGGATCTGTCGTCTTTCAAACCTGATGTAGGTGTACTTGGGCCAATTTAAGGTGTGCTCACAAACTGTAGATTTGTTCGATCTACTATGTTTTATGTAGCTAGTTATATGTTGCTTCACGCGGGTTTTTATTGCTATGTAAGTGAGCCCACATTCACAGTCAAGTTTGTACACTCCTGGATCTTGCAGAGGGATATTACACTTGACAGATGGTAAAAACTGACTAATCTTCTTCGGCGGCTTGTAGAATGTGTTAATTGAAGCCTGCTTTAAGATATCTTGTGACTCCTCTGACGTATGGTAGAATAGCAGGTACTCGCTCCACTGTGAATGGTTTCACTCGGTCACAGTGACGTAGGCGCGGTGCACTAAATTTGTTGTCGTGCAGTACTTGCTTGACATGTTGAAGCTCAGCGGCCAGGTGTTTCTTGTTACAGATCCCTTGTGCTCTCTGAAGCAAAGATTTACCCACGGTAGCTAACTGGGATGGATGGTGATGAGAGTCACCGTTGAGGTATCTATTTGTATGGCTTGCCTTCCTAAACACAGTGTGGCTCGGTGTTATTTGGATTGCGGATGACCAAAAACACTAAGAAAGCTAAAGAGTTATTATTCTCTAATTCCATAGTAAACTGTATTTTGGAATTTAGTGAGTTAAGGTGTTTTAGAAATGCAACTTTACTTGTTAGTAAAATTGTGAAGGTGTCATCTATATACCTCTTATAAAACCTTGGATAAATGGGAGCTGTGCGAAGGGCGCTCAAAGTCTTCCATAAATATGTCAGCGACAATGGGAGAGACTAGGCAGCCCATTGCTACACCATGTATAGTGGAACGAAAAGTGTAAACAAATAATATATTATTTTAAGCTATTAGTTGTGGTGAGAAATAAATATTTATTTATTTATTTATCTGTATGTAGAACTTTTCCTTCCAAAGCAAGTAGTAAGGCAATGTTTAAGTAGTAATGCATACTCTTCCGGCATGTCATTTTCTTTTAGCTTTCTCTTTACAATTGAGACGCAGTCTTCTGATGGTTGGCATGTAAATAAAGACACATCAAAACTGACCATTGTTCCATTGTCAACAAGACATAGTTGTTTTATCTAAACAAACTGGTAAGAATCCATTGTGTATGCCTCTCAGTCGTGAGAGAATTTTTACTAGATTTTGAGCCAGTCTGTAAGATGGGAAGTCGATCTGGCTTTTAATAGGGCGTAATGGAACGTCTGGTTTGTGCACTTTAGGCAACCCATACAATTTAGGGGTTTTGCACATGTGCACTTCATGAAGTTATCGTCGATTTCACGTCTAGATTTATTTTTTCGGTGTAATTTTTAAATGAGATCGCTGGTTAATTTAAGCGTTTTAGTGGTCGGGTCTGTATTGACCTTTTGTAGGTTGTGGTTTGGTGTACATACATCCGACAACATTTCTTGTATTTTTAAATTATAATCCGACGTTTTCATAACAACCGTGGCATTTTCTTTATCTGCGCGGAGAACGGTTATGTCTTTATTGTTGCGTAAGCTGTTTAACGCGTTAAATTCATCTTTAGGGAGGTTAGACCTCGGCACCGAACTTCGACGTAATTAAGACGAAATATGTTGTCGTATACTTTCTAAATCTTCTTTACGTTATGTTGTTTTATATAGGCAGTCCTCGACACTACAGATTATTTCTTCGTACGGGATTTTTTGCAGCGTAAATGCGAAATTTAAACCTTCATCCAGTGTTTGTTGTGACAGAATGTAGACCGCGCGATATTTATTATCTGTGTCTTTGGTCAACGGTCGCGTTTCGTTCATGCGTTGCGACGATCGTTTGGCATTTGATTTGTTGACTAATTTATGATGTTTTTGAATTAGTTTCTTTTTGCATTGCTTACAATTAGTTGTTTTGCGATTCTGTAACATTTGATTACAAATGTCGTATAGCATTTGATAGTCAGCTTAATACAATTTTGACTAAAATTGTTTTAAGCTGACTGGATGAATTGCCTATGGCAGAATTATGACGCATAGATCGGATCTATTTTGACAAATTACCCTACGTAAAAAATTATACTGATCCTGTTTAAGATCTTCGCGCTTCCTCGAATGTCCTTCTTCGATGACAATCAGACGTCCAACGCCTCAGTCTGTCCCATGACCATGAACGCTGTAAAGGGTTCGAAACGTCGGGAATTAAAAATAAACGCGATATATCCCTAAAATAGTTTCATTTATAATGTGTAATCGCGTAAATATAAGAAATTATAATCTAATATGTGTTAGAATTATAGATTGTACATGCGTAGCCTAGGTATTTTTTCAATTTAGATAACAAACATCCTGTATATATTTAATGTTTACTGCAAGTTACACTCCTACGTTTATCTTTTTACTATTCGATAAAAGATATAAATAAATAGTAATAAGTAAAAAGATATAGACCCAACGGGATCAGTCAGTATGTTCAGTAATGCTTTTGGATGGCGTAAGGTATAATTTAATTAGTATTTGAAAAGTGTCACAAAATATTAGAGTAAAGAAATGCTTTGTAAGAACTTTTCCATTTCAAAACCAAAAAGATACAAGTTAGCGCGTAAACCGCTAAAAAGTCCCTATTTGCCATAACTCCTGATTTTGAGAACACTGTCTGACAGTATCGACAGATAGTATCGGAATATTTGGCGTCAAAATTTCGAGCGACGTCCAGTTCCGCGTTCAGTTGTAAGGTAAGGCCAAATTGGCCTCAAAGAAGCTTGGTGTGCTCAGCGAGGCGAGACAATACTTCACGTCGGCTCAACGTCTAAACCTATATGAGGCGCAAATTCGGCCCCACATGGCCGCATCTCTGGGTGTGCGCCCCCCATTACCAGCTTCTCCCATTTGACCGCCTTCAAAGCGCGGTTCGTGTAATCGAAGATCAAGTTCTTTCCGATCTTTGGCTCAGCGTAGAGATGTTGGATCACTCTGCGTCTTCTATCGCATGTGTCACGGGGAGTGATCCGAGAAAAAGTTTCGATTGATCCCGCTAAATATCACCGGCGGACATCGCGCTAAAACCATAAATTTCATCCACACCACCTCGAAGTCCAGCTTTCCACAATAGCGCGATTTTCAGGACATTTCCTGTCTCGCCGACCGCTCTGAGCTGCCGCCGGTGATCTTTCCGAACCGTCACGACCTAACCTTCAAGAAGAGCATGCTTTCTTGACAGGCCGGCAACGCATTTGTAAGCCCTCCGGTGTTGCAGATCTTCATGGGTGGCAGTGATCACTTTCCATCAAGCGAGCCTCCTGTCCGTTTGCTCCATAAAAAAAAATAAAATCCTTGAACGCAAACTTCACAAACATAGTTTAATATAAACCGCAACTGTTTGCTAATGCAAAATTAATATATATTTACTTTTTAAGGTACCACCGTGAGTATTTAAACTTTTTTTATTAACAACATGAAATTTACAACAAGAGGTGGGAATGTAAATTCGTTAAGACCGATTGCCCTTGGTGGGTTATGTATATTATAATATTAACTATTATAATTGTAGGTAAGTGTCCTTTTTTGTGATACGATGAAGACTGTTCCTAGTGATAGATAATGAGAGAAAAATGGAGATATGGGCAGGAATATTGAGAAATATGGACAAGAGATTGTAGGTTTTGGGTGATTGGTGATTAGATATGCTGTTCAGGAATTCCGTTCTCAGGACACATACATTTTCGACAATAAACAGAAACTGTTCTTGGTGAAGTTTCAATATAAATCAATCAATATCAGCCTATTGCAGTCCACTGCTGAACAAAAGAAAAAAAATATTAATGCTTTGGGATTAAATAAGACCAATGCTAGAACTTGTAATTAGTTTTGTATTGAACGCGCAAATAAGGTGTCATCAAAACGACAATGATTACTAAAAGTAAAAATTCCTTAAAAATGAAACAATTCCTAACGATTTTGATATTTGGTATGCATATTCTGATTGTTGAAATACGCTAATCAAAACTTTTTTTTACAGTCCATCATACGAGGAATACTAAACGGTAGTCGCAGAAGGTAAAACTTAATAAAGATTTTCAGTATCGAAGTCGCCTGTTTCTATTACCCACCATTACCCATTGAAAGTCTAAGTACTTTACTTTATCCTATATTCGTTAGTATTGAATGAGTAGATACAGAGCATAGTCGTATTAGTATTGCATATATTATATTATTCATGTTTATGTTAAGCTGAAATGGTTTATTTTATTAATAACTAGCTTTCACCCGCGGATTCACCGCGTTTTACCCGCGTTGAAGCCTTTAAATAAATTTATCTTTTTTAAAAATTTTTTTTATTAAAAAGAATCCTATGTCCTTTTTAATACCTCTAAGAATATGTGAACAAATTTTCGATAAAAATATGTGAACAAATTTATTTACTATTATTTATTCACATTTATAATATTAAGGAGGGATGATGTGGGCTTAAAACATTGAGCTTTTGGTGCGCGAAAAGCCTGACCTGAGAAAATCTGGCGAAAGAAACTCAGCGGGACAGTTTTTTTACACTTATTTCACAAGAAACGTGTTAGAAATTTAAATTTTTATAGTGCTAATCTCTGCACTTAAGTTTAATATTAAAATTTGTAGAAAAATTACGAAAAGGTTGTCGCTGCTGTGAGAATCGAGCCCACGTCTTCAGCAGCGGCCTAACGCTTTAGTACTTTTTCTACAAATTTTAATACGAAAAGTGTTTACAATATATTAAAGTTCACTTGAAAGAGAAATTCATTTCTAGGGTGTGTTATTTTTTAAATAATCACTTATATTATAAAAGCCGTTACCACACAAATGTTCCTATACAATTATTCTGAATTTAGAAGTTGATACATTGTGGAATTTTTTTGGGATTTCGTTGTAAAAAGCAAACATTGTCCCATAAAATAATTTCTTATTCTACTCAGTTTAGTTGTGGGTAGAATGAATTTATGTTTATAAAGTAATATAGAAATAATAGACATGGTACAACAACAACTATAAACTGATAAACATCTTTTAACATCGACTTAAGAAGTTTATAAGGATTAAAAATAAACAGAATTAAAAAAAAAAAAACACATTTTTATCTATTTTGTGGGAACACAAAAAATGTTTTAAATTAAACTAAGATTTCAATAATAAATAAATGAAATAACGCGTATTTCTCCCTCATGGTCTAGCCAACATTTTCCTACTAGGAATGATGCGAATTATATTATCTACTGGCTGCTGCCCGCGACTACATCTGCGTGCTGAAGGCGTAACATTCAGACAGAAAGACAGATATACATAAAAATAAGTATATAAATTATAGCCCATGTTTTATTCTGATGTATAAACTATATTATTGTAAAGTTTCATTAAAATCCATTCAGTAGTACTTGCGTGAAAGAGTAACTAACATCCGTTCATACATACAAACTTTCGCCTTTATAATATTAGTTAGGATTAGTAAGGATTGTGGTGTTGGGACGAGCTCTGCCACTCTTCAAGTGATCCGGTTTGCAGTTCTCTCAGGTTGTCGCGAGGTGGTATTCCGAATTTTGTCTCGAAAACTACTTGTTGTTTATTTCATTAGTGGTTTTTCTTTATCGAATAATTTTTTTTGTAGCTGGAAAATCACACTGCGAACAGTCACAAAACAGTCTTGTCGACACTTTAAACAAAGAAAACTTTTTACAAGAACACTATGACGACACAAAATAATTGAAAACTACTGAACGATCTGATTGAGACTCTAAAAAAATTTATAAAAAGAAATAAAATATAAATTACAACATGTACCTACACAATTTACTAGTGCTAGTAGACGCGCACATGTTATCCACCATTATAAATACGAATATTAAATAGGAAATTGAAAAGAGCGGGAAATACTTATCTTTTTAAATTTAATATAATTTGCTAATATCGATTTCGGAACTCGATTACAAATTTTATAAAATCTTTTTAATCAATAGTATAAATTAATTTCAAGCCAATTTAACACAAATTGATTGGTTTTTTCGTAATTGCACATTTTAATAACTATCTCAAGAAGTCTTATCTGATCAAGATTAGTAGTGAATTAGTTTTAATGTAAAAAAAAATTTTCATATTTCTATAATTATTATTTCATTATTAAATTTGACTCTTCCACGTGCTTCGCCAGAACACTCGTTATTTCGCCCCTCAGTGTCCCTTCACTTTCGCCTTCAAAAACTGAATACACAGTACTGCCAACATGATTAATATAGGAAGTGGGCGATGATTATTTTTTTTTTTAATTTAAAGAGTGACAAATTGGACATAGAGCGATCAGACTCGGATAGATTAGCCTTCATGATTATTTTTTTATAACCACCCAGAAAACTCAGTGTAACAGTACTTTTAGTATTTATAAAGACTTTTTTTTTAATAATGCGAGGTTATCATTTGGAAAAGTGTGTGAATTCGTAAATTTATACATGTTGTCAACAACAAAATGACGGATTTCTTTAGAACTGGTTTAAATTTTTTTTTCTCGAAAACTATAAGCAACCGCCGAATTCTGCTTGTTGATTATTTCATTAAGGCGCTGTATGCAGTGAATTTTTAACTATTTGGGTGGTGAAGTATGAGGAAGCGGAAGAGGGGTAACGCCGCTTAGCGACCCGCACCGCGCGAGTTTCGTCGGCGCGCCGCTAGACCAAGTCTTTGTGTGTGTGTAGTGATGCGCCGTAGGATTCTATCGATAGTATCATGGAAGGCTTTCGAAAATGTACACAGATGATCCCTATAATATCTTTTATTGACCATGATTGTATTTTACTTTTACATTATAATAGGAATAATAAACAAAATAATATAATAGGAATAATAAAATAATAAACAAACAAATATTAAATATGAGAAAGCTATCAACAATTTTAGAAAATCAACATCCTGTTTGTTATTACTTTTTTAATTAAATGGAAAAGGAAATGATTAAAAATACATCTTAAAGTCAAATAAATTAATAAAGGCAAATTACTTATAATTTTTTTATGGTTTATATTGTTATTTTAAAGAAATGGCTCATAAAATTTTTGCAGAAATTACGAATATAACTTTTTTTATTACATTTTTTTATATATTAGGAATTTTAATTTATCCCTTAAATGTTCAAGATTTACTATGTTATCCTCGTAAAACCTACGGCCCCTTTAAAAGGATTATATATTTTAAGTCATTTCGTCCTGAACTTTTGATCACCTAGACTTGAATGAACGCCGGAGGTCCCTTTAAAGGAACCATAACTTTGCTATTCATCCCTGTTAAAAATTTAGCGCTGATTTAAAAAATACTTATATTATCTGTTACTACGAAGTATAAACTATCATTTAGAAAGCATTGTGGTGTTTGACATAAGTGACATTTGAAATAATTTGTCATTTGCTCTGGAAAGATGATGCGCCCACGAGGACGTGGTAAGCAAATCCTTTATTACTTGTGTGATCTTCGAGTTTACCGGCATAATTTTATACTGAACTTATACACAAAATAATAATCTGTATGCTGATGAAAGCATTTATAAATTTCATGTGAAAGATTAGATTTTGTGGACACTTCAAAATAATAGTCCCTTGCAAAGGACCCTCGGTCTTATTTAGACTAGAAGTGTTCCCAACGGATTTTTTAAAAATATTTGACATTATTAAAATTAAATTATAAAAAACAGAATTGCCCCCTCCCCTCATGGGTGGTATTACAAATATATTTTTTTTGAGTTTGTCTTAAGTATAATTGTTTTGTTTTTAGTTATCACTGAAAAAGAGTTTGAGGAAAATTTAGAACAATATTGAAATGATTCGGATATCGAGCAAGAGAGTGAAGAGAGCGATGTCGTAGGATTATCAAGTACAAAAGATACAAATTTAGAAAAAGAAAGTACTCGAAGAGATTCTACGGCTTCGGAAAGTTTACTGACTAATTACGATGTGATACACGAGCAAAGCTTATCACACCAAACTGCGGATGTTTGTCGTAGTCAATCACAAGAAGAACACACTACATCATGTTCTGATTCCGACGATTATACAATAGGAAGGAGTAGAACTCAGTTCCGTGGTCGACGAAGAGGTAGACGTAGATATGCTGACCGAAGAATATGGGAAACCCGCCCAAACAGAATGGTCTACTGATAACTTGATACCGAACAAAATTCCTTTCATTGAACCAGCTTACTTACCTTTGAACAGTGAAGGGTTTACTGAAATTCATTATTTTACACGGTATCTAACTGAAGAACTAGTTCATCTCGTCGTTGCTTCATCCAACATGAATTACGCTAGAGAAACTGGATGCCAGATACATTTGTGTATCGTGAGGGAGAGAAACTGTTTCAGAGACTTTCATACCTGAACATATATGTGATGATTCTATTCATTACTTTAAAGTTTTTTGTTAATAATTTAATCAAACTTGAAGTTAAGGGCTATTACGTTACCAAAAGTGGTCAATTTATTAGATTTTGTAAAAGATAACAATGTTTCTATCACATTTTATTACAATGAAAGTATGATTTATTGCTTCTTCTTTATTTTCTACAATTTACTGTTTTTTCCCCGATAGCATTTACAAAAATTTTCGACTTATTTGTAAATGCTCTTTTCTTAAATAATCATACCTAAAGTACTCATGGAAGGACTAACTAAAAACATTTAATTTTAGCAAAAATTGGTAATATTTGTTAACTTACAGGTTCACTACGTATAAAATAACAGTTAAGCTATAAATGTATATAACTGATTTAAACTAGAACGCATAAATGGTCAATAAAAACGATTTCAAAGTTATTACCTTCTTTAGTAAGTTAAGCCGTAAGTACTTTTAAAAGGACTATATATTTTACTTTTTTTATAATAAATCACTTCTATCTAATGTTATATACAACTCTTATAAATATGAAAGCAAGCGCACACCTCGTACACATTCAAATACTTGCCTAAAGTGCTCGGACTTAAAGAGTATAAAAAGTTAATCATTTTTGAAGGACTTTAGGTATTAACTTAAGCTCGCGTAAAAGAACTCTTCGGTCTTACGAGGTTATATTACTTTCTCAACTTAAATGAAATTTAAAAAACTATCGATAAAATCTTTATTTGTATCGATAAACGACAGCAATTATAACAAGAATCGAAATTTTGTCACTTTCCTCGCTTAGCCTGTTGGTCCGAGCGTCATACACAACGGTAAACTATTGCTGTAGTCTCAAGTTCAAACCCTCATCGAGTGGAGTTGTATTTATATATTATTTTCACTTTTAATTTTTTAGCCAACTAATTATTTTGTTTTTATTTTATAAAATGGGTCAATTTGGGAAATAAACAAATTAAAAAAAATATATATAACAATTATTTTTCGTGTATAAGATAAAATTTCGTTTTAGGGTGAAAAATTAAATATTTTAATAAAAAATAGAGGACGTTAAAAATTTTAATACTAAAAGTTGGTTTATTTACTGATAGATAGTTCTCCAACTGTTTCAACTTTGAATAAATACAATAATATTTCGTTGTAATTATTTATGAAAATAAAAAAAATTACAAAAATTAAATGGTAATTAAGTAATACTTCCAAATAAAAAAATCAACATTACGTAAAAGAAAAAAATTCGGTATTTGAACCCAATCCTGTATGTATAGGACTGATAGACCAATCACGAGATAAGATTGAAATTACGCTTTAAATAAATTAATTAATAACTGTTAATACATACAAATAATTTAAAATACGAAATATGTGAATATATATTTATTAGTTTCGTGTCATGGAAGTTCTAATAATATTAAAACTCTCAATAATAAATAAATACGAAACATATTTCGTAACGGTGAGCGGGCGATGAGCGGCATAAGTCCATCTAGCAAGGCGCCTCAGCGCTCTCTGTTCAACGTGTGGAATTGGAATTAATTTTAATGAATTAAATTAATATTTACAAATATCTTACATCAATCAACAAATTAAAACAACAATCCTCTTTATTAATATATTCTACACCACTGGTATTAATTTCATTAAGATTTGTTAATGTATTACGTTCATTTTTGGATTTGAATTTCTCTTTTAGAGGTAGTTTCATGATTTTTTTCTATCGAGAAAATATATCGAGAACATGTTTTGGAAACAAAGTTCCATTAGAATGTACGATCAAGATTAACATATATTTTTTTGCTGCTATAAAATGTGTAGATTTTGCTAAAAAATCTTTTGAAAAACCTATTTTTACTGCATAAAGCGCTTTAATGACTTTTCTTTACCGAATAAATTTTTTCTTTGGCCGAATAGCACCCGGACGCTAATGTAAAATTTTACTAAAAACAAAAAACCAAATGGCTTAGTGAGTAGTGTACCTGCCTCCTGTGCCAGAGGGTCTCTTACTGGAAAAATATTGTGGTATGAACATAGTGATTTTCTAGTGTCAGGGTTTTTATATATTGTATAATATATATTTATTTACAAAAGAAAAGTATCATCATCATCATCATTTCAGCCTGTTTGGGTCCACTGCCGAACATAGGCCTCCCCCATAATAAATAAAATAAAAGTATGTTTATCAGTTATCCACTATCCATAGTACAAGCGTTGCTTAGTTTGGAACTAGAGAACGTTGTGTAAAAATGTGTCCTAAATTTTTATTCATTTATTTATAAAACTTTCCTCTTTATAAAATTAGTTTGTTGTCTTGACTATGTTAACGCCACCACAATAATTCTTAATAATGCTGTACGGAGTCATTTTATGTACCGTGGCATCAATGGAATGTTATAGCACAAGATTTTTAATTACCCGATTTAAATATATCGGACCGTGAAATGTGTGTTTTAATTTGCGATACGCAAACTAATTTTCGATTGTTTCTTTCATTTATTCAAGAGTTTTGATTCTTGCCGTTTGGTTCCCTCTGAATTAAAAGTATATTCGAATTCCCTCTGTACTCAGTATACCTTTGGACCCTATTTCAAAAAGAAGATTTTTTCAGGAGTAATGTCGCCGACGCTTGGTCTACTTGTAATTCTGTTGATATGTGATCTTCTTCCGGCACCCCAGGCAAGTTTGTACTCGATTTTTATAATATCCTTAAATTGTTACAATCTTCCCAAAGTAGTAAACTCTTTATTGATATTTTCATTTTACAGGCAGCTGTTAATAGTCAGAAATTATAATCGATACTTATATTTATTTCCAATGCTTTTGATGTCTTCAAATTGAGATGCACGAGTATGTCTATGGTTTCCCTTTTGTAGGGTTGAAATTGCGGTTTAATCATGAGACATATCGGTGTTTGACTATCGGTCATGAGAGCAATTTGTTTACGACATTTGTTCATCTTTATTAACATGTGTTACCGGTGTTAACAATGTTAATAAAAACAATTCATTCACGAAAACATCGTCTACAAAATAAAAGGTTGTAGTGAAAAATTGGTCCGCTATACATTATGTGACATATACTACAAGTGAATGTGATAGATGATATACAACGTATGACACGGAAAGAGATAGCAGTCAATAGAAATGCAATTTAATTACCCCAATTGGTGTAATTTGAGTGCCTCAATTTCTGATCTCAAAGCGCTAGTGTCATATACATATACCTCGTATTTGTATGTAATATCATTGCTTCAACACCATTCCAACTGTCGACAGACTCATGTATATTATTTTTATCTCTCAGGGCGCCTCACAGGATATTTGTTTAGGGGGAGATGAATTCTGCTCGAGTGTATTACAAGTAAGTGAATGTTTTTCAAATTGAATGCTACAATTTATTTTATCAAACTGTTAAGGGCGCTGCGGTCGGAATTCCCTACGTGATCAGCTTTTTTCCGATCCAACTATGATACGGGCACGCTTTTGCCGTTGCACGAATGGGCAGGCTGTTCGAGAGAGGTGTGATTAGATTTCTGGCGTGGAAGATAGGTATGAAGCTGCCACGCCAATATCCTTCCACCGAATTTGTTATCGTCAGTTTCACTGTAGAATCAATCAAAGGAATACCTACATTAGTAAAGCTTACTCCCGAGAAATGGACCTGGAACGGAAAGAAGAAAGTATCAACTTATACATGTTCCACGGCTGAGCAAAGGCCGCTTCTGTGCAGAGGGTATCAGGGCATAGTTTGCTATATCTCTGCAGTTAGTGTCAAGTATTGACCAATTGCTGAAAATCACTGACCTTTTATGACCATTTTGTGACCGATTTGGAGCACACTTTAGAGATAAAATTCATCGTTTGCGCCGCTTAATCCCCATCTATTTCCCGTGAAAGGAAAGCATAAAGTTATTTCGGGCGTCTGTTGAGTGAGGTAACCGGAACCCACAATTTCTAATGGTTGGCGACGCGTCTACATGGGCTACTTGCTTGCTTACTAATCGAAACTATGTTTACGGATTACCACCTTTATTTTGGTCTTATTTACAGACGTTTCGGACACTTTACAGGGTACAAGTGTTTTTGTGACTCACAGATTATTGTTCCGGACCTGGCAGTTTGTCCAGACTTGTATATGTAGACTTGCTGTAAGCACAGGAGAGTGTAAAGTAAAAGTAAAGTAACATCCTGTACTTGTACCACTGCTGGGCAAAGGCCTCCTCTGTACAGGGGGTATCAAGGCATAGTCCACCGCGCGGCCCCACTGCGGATTGGTGGACTACATATATTTTCGATTTTTTTTAATATGTTATTATTTCGAAAATATGCAGGTTTCTTCGCGATGTTTTCCTTCACCGCGGAGCACTTGATAAGTCGGCACTTATAATTAACAATTTCGTAGGTGACGACACCGCGGATCGAACTAAAGTTGCTCGAGTATGTATGTATGTAGACAGTGAGCTATTACGGCTCACACACATTTGACAGTGCACAGTAATAATAAACGTGTTTTAAGTGTAAAAAGAGAATAAAAAACGCCTTGGAGGGTATTTAAGCGTGTTTGGCGTTGTTCAGCAACTACGCAAAGCTGACGTTAAGCTTTGCGCCGATCGAATTCTTTCGAGCTGTGTGAGTGCTCACTGAAAACCTTTTTTGAGCAGATATTGAACACAATCACTTTAATAACAACTTGCATAGGCCCAACTGAAATGCTTCAAAATTTGAGGCAATTCGTTTTTTTTAGTATTCCTGCAAATGTTTAGAAACCACTTAAGAATTTTGTATTTTATGCTAGCGTCTCTCCTACACAAAGAAGCTACGTAAAAAACCCCCCCCGAAGCCTGGGTCGACTAAGCCTTGGAAAATTAAATCTACAAAAAAGACTACTGAAAAACCGTCTGGCGATGGACCAGAATTTAAAGTGAGCAATTTAATGTTTTATAAATTTATGATACATTATAAAATCATCCTTTCCCATAGGACTACAAATACATAGTAGGTAACTTATTTCTACTGGCTACTGGTCAGCTGGCGTTTGAATGACTTTTGCTGGCTTATTTTACCAAACCTTTAGCATGCGAAAAACACGATGACTTGAGAAGATGACGATTATACGAACTAATCAAGAAATTATAAATAAATAAAAATTACGGGACATATTTTTACACAACGCCATCTAGTCCCAAACTAAGCAAAGCAACAGATAAACATACTCAAACGTACTTTTCTTTTGTAAATATATACAAATTATAGATGTATAAACACCTAGACTCTAGAAAAACACTGTGTTCATCAAACGATATTTTTCCAGTACTGGGGATCGAACCCACACCCTCTGCGCAAGAGACAGGGTCACTACCACTACGCCAATTGTGTCGGGAATTTATATTGTATAGACAATTCGTAAATTCTATCTATAGATAGATTTGGTTACTGGAGATATAATTTTGACGTAAGTATTATGTATAGGTCTAATGTCAAATACCTATCGCTAATAACCAGATCTATATGTAGATGTAAATTGAAATCGGCCGTTAGAGACGTAGTTTCTAATCTTTTGACTCCGGTACTGGGGTCGTGTGTTGTGGATGGATTGTTGGTCGGGATTTTCGTTCCTAAGGGGCCGTCCATTAATCACGTGAGGCTCGAAAGGTGGGGGGGGGGGGGGGGGGGGGGGGGGGGGGGGGGGGGGGGATTGGCAAAAATCGCGAAATATCACATATTGATAGATTATACAAGGGTGGGAGGGGGGGGGGGGATGTAGTAAGATATCACGTGTAATTATTTTTTTTTTTTTTTAATAAATATTTAGGACACATTTTTACACAACGTTCTCTAGTCCCAAACTAAGCAAAGCTTTTACTATGGGTACTAGGTAACTGATAAACATACTTAAACATACTTTTCTTTTTGTAAATAAATACATATTATAGATATATAAACACCCAGACACTGCAAAAACACTATGTTCATCACACAATATTTTTCGAATAGTGGGGATCGAACCCACACCCTCAGACGCAGAAGACAGGTACACTACCCACTACGCCATTCGAGTCGTCTACTTTACTTTTCAGTCAAACGAGTGATCTGTTAACTGAAAAGCGGCGTGATCTTGACTCGCCCTCACAATTTTATCATGGTCCTTAATTTCAAAATAAAAACTGGATTATGCTTTATACCTGCATTTAAAGATAATTTTTTTTAAATTTTAAGATTCTTTGTAAGTACTAAAAAAACACTTCATTTCGGGTGGAAAAATCTAAAAAAAAACATCACGTGATTAATGGACGGCCCCTAAGGAGGGTTGACGTCCAACAGGTAATATAAATACAAAAACTGCTATAAAGCTGAACTGAATACTGAAGATGTTAATAATAATTTTTCTATTTAAAGTTTGACTTTGGCATTTACATAGTAAGTATGAATTTGTGACAATATTGCTCATATTGAGAGTTCCACTTACCTAAAACTTTCTCACTTATCGAAACATTCCGAAAACATTATCAGATTCAGAGAGTGAATACTTTAAATGACTACAACCAATTATATTTCATACTACAGATATTTTATTCATACGCATACAAAAACCCCGGTCGAGTGTTCCTATTTCTATTATATATTTATATATTAGGTTGGGGAAAAACTCCTTTCGCAAATAGTATGTATGTACATGTAATACTCTTTGGCTATACCATTTACATCTGGCTGGTTTTGGTATCATTAAAAAGGTTAATTTAAAAAAAAGATAATACCAAAATTAAGAAAATATGAGATTCAAATTGAAATTAGGAAAATATGTGATTTTATTTGTTCTTACTGTTAAGAAGAGTAAATCTAATGAATAAATTCGATACATTTTAAAATTTTACTACTAAAAAGGAAAAAATGCAACGCAAGCCGCGAAATAAAATTGTGATATTTATGGATCTAGTGCAGTGTGTGTGAGAGTAGCACAAATTTGATTTAAGCGTTTTTAATCCGGAAATTTTGATGTCAAAGATGCAGTTCGCTCTGGGCATTTGAAAAAAGCTGGGTACATAAAAAAGCTCGATATTTGGGTGCCTCATGAGCTCACTAAAAGAAACCTAATGAACCGTGTACTCATTTGTGATTCTTTATTACGACGTAATGAAACCGAACCATTTTTGAAAAACCTGATAACTGGTGATGAAAAGTGGATCACGTACGACAAGAACGTGCGAAAAAGGTCGTGGTCAAAGGCTGGTCAGGCTTCACAGATTCTGACAAAACCCGGGTTATCTCGCAACAAGGTGTGTGCTGTACAATGCTGTGTGTATGGAATGTAGGTTAGTGGGATTGGAAGGGCATTATTCATTATGAGCTGTTATCACCAGGCAGGACCATTGATTCTGAAATCTACTGCGAACAACTGATGAGATTAAAGCAAGAAGTTGAGAGAAAGCGGCCAAAATTAATCAACAGAAGGGGTGTGGTTTTTCATTATGATAACGCTAGACCTCACACATCTTTAGCCACTCAGCAAAAATTAAGAGAGTTTGAATGGAAGGTCCGCCTATAGTCCTGACTTTGCACCTTCAGATTTCTACTTGTTTCGGTCTCCTCAGGATTCTTTAGGCAACCTGACAAGGTTAACATCACGAGAGGACTGCCAAAACCACTTGTCGCGGTTTTTTCATCAGAAGCCCCAGAATTTCTATAGCAATGGGATAATGTCCCTACCTACAAGATAGCAGAAAGTTATCGAACAAAATGGCAACTACATACTTTAGTTAGATGTAAATAAACTTTATAAAAAAATGTTTTGAATTTTCATATAAAATGCGAAAAAACTTTTTCTCCAACCTATTATATAAGCATGAGGTCGAACAGAGTAAACTAACATAATGGAATCTTTATATGGAAGACTCTTAATATTTACTATGAGGGTACCTCATAGAAATTTGACAAAAAAACATTTCAAAATAGCGTGGTTGACTATGCCCTGTTTATATCTATTGGTATTCTTACAGACACTTACTTTACTCTTTTCCCCTCTAATCTGGTCCCATTATATTTGAAAGAACTTGCTATATTCAGCAAATTTGCAGTATTCTACGTCAAAAATATCTTTAATTTTTGTTTTTATGTGTTTTAATTTCTATTGTATGTCTTCAATTAGTGAATGACAACTTTTTTTTATTTAACTTTTACGAAATTTCAATATACGTAATCACACATCAAAGCCTTGTTGAAATAACCAAAAAAATATAGAAAAAATTGTATCAAATGACAATTAATCATTACCATGTTTGAATGTCAGTCAAAAATTAATGATATATATATATATATATTTGCTTCAGTACCCAACGTAAGTATTTAAATTTATTTAATTTAGGGAAAAATGGAGATAAAAGTGAAGTAAATGAACAAATATTGGGTTACATTAGGTATGTTGGTTAGGCGTTCTGTCCTGACGGCATATGATACCTTGACCATAACGACCAGAATTTATTTCCGACGAATTTTCTTCTGATGTAAAAGGGAACAGAATTGATACCTTTCCTGAAGATCATGGAAATAATATAAAGTACGAATCTAAGGTAAATTGATAATGTAATATTACTTGATTATTTTTTACCGCTTCATTAAAGTAGTCAAGTTCTTTCAGTTTTAGAGTGATTTATAAATAAATGAATTAATAAATATTTTTAGGATTCATATTTTCACAACGTTCTCTAGTTCCAAACGAAGCAACACTTGTCTTATGGGTACTAGATAATTGATAACATACATTTCATTTATAAACAAATACATATTATACATATGCAGCGTGTCTTTACCATCGCGACAATAAATGAACACACATATAGAGGATAACTTTTTAAAATTGTATTAAAGATTTACATTCTTTAAACATCAATATTTAACGAGTTATCAAATTTTCCAAAATAAAGAATTTTAGAACACACTTACGTATAAAACTTTAATGTAAAGTTCATTTTTAAAGGTCACAAAGCATATGAATGGGTTGAATAAATTTAAAAGAGACAAAACATACTGTTAGAAGGAGAGGCTTGTAATGCGGAGCTGTGGCAACAAATGAAAAAGTCTCTGAATGTATGAATCAGTCAGTTGTAGTTGTAGAGGATAATACAAATTTTGTTTCTTTTTTACTTAATTAGTTTGTTTGAAAAATATTTTTTTTTAATTATGGATTTCTTTTAACGTTATTTTTTTATGATTATAGGCAAGTGCCGTTAGACGTGTGTTCATTTATTGTCGCGGTGGTAAAGACACGCTGTATAAACATCTAGACACTAGAAAAATACTATGTCCATCACACAATATTTTTCCAGTTGTGGGGATCGAACCCAAATCCTCTGGGGCACGAGACAGGTACACTCGCCATTTAGGTCGTCAAATTTAGATAAGTTGCTGTCAAAACGAAGAACAGAAATGAGAGTTTTAGATTCGGAAATTAATATAAATAAGAATGATGGCTACGTAAGAAGAAAAAACGGTGTCGTATTGAAAGGTAATCAGAAACTTAATAGAGAAATGGGCAGGAATATTGAAATTGCACATTGTCCACAATAAACCGGAACTGTTCTTAGCGCAGTTTGTTCTAATTCAAAGGGAAAAAAATATAGCTTTGTTTTATTTTGTCAGTTCTGTTAGAACAATTCAATCTTAATAATATACAATCTTATAATAAAAAAATTAAAGTTCTGTTAGATTTAAAATAGGGCGTCGTATATACAATGCTATGGGTTTAAAATAAGACTATTGCTAGAATTTGTAATTGGTTGTGTATTGAACATACAGATAAGGTGGTATCAAAACGACGACGATTACGTAAATTAAAAATTTTAAAAAAAAAACATTGATATTTGTTATGTATATTCTGACTGTTGTAATACTCTAATCAAACTTTGTTGTTACAGTCCATCATACGAGGAATACTGAATAGGAGTTTCAGAAGGGTAAACTTAATAAAGATTTTCCTATTAAAGTCGCCTGTTATTATTAACCGCTATTACCCATTGAAAGTCAAAGTTCCTTTATTCATTAATCCTATATTCGTTTGTATTGAACGAATGGTCACAGAGCAAAATATTGAGATTTTGGTGCGTTAAATTTTTATACTTCTGGTAACAGATATGCCTTTGCGATTCTAGCTATAGTGCAGTATACAACAGGTGCTGATGAGAATCGGCATCTGTTTCGATATTTGTAAAATTTATATTCAGCGTAAATAAGTTATTGGGCTTCGTTATTGGGCTTCGAAATAACTACGATTATGGCGCTGTGAAAATATGAATTGTAGAGTTTTTAAGTACGATGAGTGTATTTTTTTATGTGAGAAGGCTGCAAACGAGCTGGCGGTTCACCTGATGTTTAGTGATCACCGCCGCCCATTGAAATTTGCAATGCCACTAGGATTGCAGATGCCCCTTTAATAAAGTAGGCCCCGGCTACATCACTCACCAGAAGAAACGCAGAAGTATAACACTTCCATTTCACGCCGGTCTTCTGTGAGGTTGTGGTAAATAGGTTACACTAAAAGTTTCTGGAATGGGCCATTTACTTTAACAATATTTAAAAAGTAATTCCTCATCATCATCATTTTAGCCTGTTTGAGTCCACTGCTGCACATAGGCGCGCCCCCACAGACTGCCACGAAACACGATCCTGAGCCACCTGCATCCATCGACTTCCCGCACATTTGCACAGGACATCACTCCATCTAGTGGGGGGTCGTCCCACACTGCGATGGCCAGTTCGAGGTTGTCACTCGAGAACCTTTCTTCCCCAGCGTTTATCGGTTCTTTGAGCTATATGGCCGGCCCATCGCCACTTCAGCTTACTAATCTTCTGAGCTATGTCGGTTATTTTTGTTCTACTGCGGATATCTCCATTGCGAACTCTATCACGCAGAGAAATACCAAGCATAGCCCGCTCCATAGCTCGCTGAACTTTGATTTTCCTCATACGGTCGGCGGTGAAGGACCACATCTCTATTCCGTATGTCATCACTGACAACACACATTGGTTGAAGACTTTAGTCTTCAAAAATTGAGGTATATTCTATTAATTATTAAATGGAACTCTTTGGCTGTAGAATGCGGTTTGTTTCATCTGACTGTCAATTGTTTTTACATTGTGGCGCCATTTTAAAAATTGCGTGTCTACATTAACATGGATTTAACTCGGGAAAATTTTCGTAGTATGATTTTGTACGATTTTAAGAGTAATTTGACAGTTCATACAAAGCCTCGCTCGACTTCAATCTGCTTTTGGCGATGCCAGACGACTATTTATAGCAAGTTTGCGGAATTCAAGCGCGGTCGTGTCAATCTCAGTAACGAATCTCGCGATGGTCGCCCATTCACCTCTGTCAACAACGAAAATATTGAAGCTGTGCGCCGTACGATCGACACAGACAGGCATGTGACCTACCATAAGATTATCCTTAGACATAGGCATGAGTCAAATACAATCAATCCTACACAAATATTTGGGTATGAGAAAGCTACGCTCGCGGTGGATCCCACATAATTTGACCGAGGTGCAATGTCATGTTTACCAGATTCAACGAAGGGGCGTCAAACTTGGTGTAGGACTTCGGTTAAAGCACCCACCAAACAAAAGGCAAAAGAACAAAAACATTAATGGTGTTGATTTTATTATAAAATGCGGCTGACTCCGCCACTGATCGCTTGTAACTTGTTATGATTTTTCATAATAGTTAGCTTTTATATAATTATGTCCGATGAACGTTATGCTCCTCGGTTGGTTTTGCTTAGGTATTTTATTTTTTATGTTTTACTTTTTTATATAGTAAGTTTATTTACCTTTTACCTCACTCCCACTTTTATCTGTATCTCATATTTTTGTTTATGGCACCAATTAAGGAGTCTGGTTATTGTTTTTTATCGCTCTTTAATTCCATTTCGCTTATTAATTCACGACGTAATTTTATATCGGTTTCCTTAAATAGAAATGCAATGTTACTACATGAAATTTTAATCACTTAAATTAGACATCGAACCATGAATGATGTTTAAATTGGCCTGTTGCATGTTGATTTTTTATTTTATGTTTTTTTAATTCGGACGTTTCAATTCTCGCTTTACGGTTACATGTTAACTGTAAGTAAAGTAAAATTCCTTCGTTGGACCATACACGCTTTTGGGCCCCATTAAAAGAAATCTATCCAAATATAATGTTGCCGTCACGGGTTTTAATATTAATTATGCTCATCAGTGTTTTGCCGGAATCCCAGGTAAGTTCGTGATATCTATTTATTTCAATTATAATGTTACTAAAGATATTTTGTCCTTAAGTTGTTTAGTTATATTCTTACCTAGCTATATTTATGTACTGGGACATACTAATTTGTAAGAGATCACTGATAGAGAGTGGTGAATCGAAGAATGTTTCTGAAATTACATTGAAAAATGTCCTTATTCTCATCAGAAATATTGGTTTATTAAAATGTAAACTGCAGCTTTAGCTAATTCTAAACTATAACCAAAATCAAGTTACAAGTGATAATGAACTTTAATACATATGACGATTATTATATTCATCGGCGTTTCTTTATTACAAAATGATGTAGGCACACCTATATGTATAGGAAACATTTTATATGTTTAGACTTTTGTTTAGAATTTCGAAATCGATTTACGTCATCGAATCGTTTACAAAGGTTGAACATAATAAAAGTTATTATTACCTCAAAGCTTTAACAAATGCTGGTTTAACTATTTTCCATCCACCTGAAAATCTAAAAAATTTAATTAATTTTTCAGCAAACTCCAGACACTGTTTGTATTGGAAAATACTTCGTTTGTTTTCGAACATTAAAAGTAAAGGTATATATATTTTTTTTGTATCATAAGATTTTGTTTTGTACATGGTTTGTGGTGCGAAATAAGTGATTATTCTTATAATTTTTATTTTTTATTTTTTAATTAATATTTTTAAATATAAAGTTTCACTCATACCTTGTTCCTTGTTCGGAATATGTGTCGGAATTCTAGCGGTGTGCACAAACAGATTTTAGGTTTTCCGGATTCCCTATGTGTTTCAGTCATACCTATAATTATAGATATAGATGCTTTAAAGCATATACATGCTTTTAAGAATAAGATAAAAAAACTATATCTAAGTAAGTTGGCAGAATAAAATAATCAGTAGTTGTTGATATCGTATATTATTTATTTATGTATATTAATTAAGTATTTGTGAATATTATAGTATATGTATTCTATTTTGTATGCTTAAATAATGTAATATATTTTTGTTATATTGGGTTTAATATGTTTATATATTTTATATTTTCATGTATATGTTTTAAATTTAAGTATATATGAATATGTATATAACTTTTATTTTAAATTAAAATTTGGTTTGAAACTTTTTACACCTGCCTCTTTTGTCTCTGCGTCGCCCATAGGTTGACTGGTAGAGAATGCCTTAGGCATTAAGTCCGCCACACAATACTAATTTTTTTGTGTAAAAGTTTAAATAAATAAATAAATAAATATAGGGCGGTGAGCTCACCACCTTTTGAATGTAATTAATAAATCTGTGATATCTGTCCAGCATTAGCTGTCCTGTGAGGTATACAAAAATATAAAGATATGTTCGTGGTAAGACAAAATCAAGTTTGATTCACAACCAATAAAGTCCTATTCGGGTTAAAACCAATTTAAATTTTATTTAGGGCCCAAAAGACTCTGAAGAGGGTAGCACGCAGCGGACTCCGCCATACTCATCCTGTGGATCGGTTGAACGGGTAGATGATGGAGCAAGGATCTATGTCAGGGAATAATTGCGCTCCAAAGCAAATTCCCTATTCGATAAAACACTTTAAGTAGTTTCACGGAGTTTTCGTTAGCCATATTTATACGAAATAAATGAAATGAAAAAATTAAATTAATTTTATTAATGTTTCTTAGGATGTCCCCAAAAAGATGAAAATGATGCATCGCCCAAAAGGGTTAAAAAAAAGTGAAGATATTCAATTGTTGGTAAGTAAAAACATGCTTAACACAAAACTTAATTAATTACCAATTAATAATAACTGGCTTATTTCTTTTTAATAGTGCATTTTCTATAAATGTATCCGGCAATCGTTTAGTCTTTACTATATAACTGTATATATGTATTGTATGTAGGTATGTATTTGTATTTATTATTATATATATAAATAAACAAATATATGTATGTATATATAAATAGTATATATTTTTATAATTACTCTGGTAAAATCTTTAATAACGTACACACCTTCACCTAATTACACATTTTAGGGTTGAGCTCGCCTTTGTACATGTTTTTTGTCATTTGTTCCGATTGTCTGTATTATAATTGTGTACAATAAAGTAAAAAAAGAAACAAAAAAAACCAATAACAATATTATAAGTAGTCTAGAGAGAATGTTACATGAACGTTATCTATCGTCACACACCTAAATACTCTACATTTAGAAGAATCAAAAAACCAAAATGAACATCAGCCGGAAGATTACGACTGTTAAACAAAGGCATCCCCTTAGATCGCCACAAGGACCAACCGTACCATTATCTATAAAAACGGAGAAAAAATTATTTGTGTTGTATGGGAGCCCCCCTTAAAGATTGTTTCATTAGGTTTTTTATTTGTTGTTATAGTGGCAACAGAAGTACGTTATCTTTGAAGATTTCAATTGTCTAACTATCAAGGTTCCTGAGATACAGCCTAGTGACAGACGGACAGACAGAGAGAAAGACAGCGGTGTCTTACGAATGACAAAACTTAAGTAAACCATGTTTTATAGCAAAAAAATGTAGATGTCGCTATAAAAAATACTCCATTGGGTCTGTATAGTTCCTGCCCCTGGCCTGCCCTCAAGCGTGTCAGCCCGTGTCGGGTCGCGCACTGGGTCTCGAGCGTCATTGCCTTTCTTTTTTTGCTAACGCTAGAAAAATGTCTAAGAATAACCACCGTTGCTGGGTCAAGGACGGGTTATGTCAAACTTGCGCCGACTAAAACCCTCACTATGCTCCACCTAGGGCGCATAACACACACGGTAACGCTTTCGCACACCTTCACGACCCTGCCAGCACTTCCCGCCAGACCCGCACGACCCGCCTCAGCCTTCAGACGGTCAGCGCAGCGTGGAAAGCAACTCTTCTTTCCTCTTTTTTTATGTGAAAAGTTGCCTAGCGAGCAGACGGTTCACCTGATGTTAAGTGAATACCGCCACCCATGGACATCTGCTACTCCCGAGGGTTACAGATTGGTTGAAAACCTTCTAAAAATTAGGATCGGACCACCTCACTCAACAGAGGAAACGCGAAATTATACTTCCACTTTACGCCTCTTCAGTGATGTCGTGGTACTTACCTGGACGAGCCTGCCTATTCGTGCAACAGCCGGGGCTGCTGCGTGGCCCTATCATCCTTTCCTCTAGGTAAGGCGCGCTGGAACATTCAGTGTGCCTTCCTACTCGGCTGCTTTTGCGCCGCCAACGATCTTCCCCATGTTCGCTGGCCAGAGGCAATGATAGCCAGGAGGGCCACTGCTAACAAGCAGTACCTCCTAGCCGCCCGCAGTGGAACCGGTCTGTGGTTTCTCGGCCACAGAGGGTGAGGAAGCCACCTCTACTACCCTCTAGCTGTCCCCCACACCCTCCTTGCTCACGCCTAAAACAACCCTCTGCATCCACTTTGCGCACTGCGGACTGATAGTAGTCGTTTAATGCCGCTCCATTTAACTAAATCTTGTCGTGATATAATATTTTTATATGTGAATACTTTCAATCAATTCATCCTCATCAATGATGTTTTAATAAAGAAGTCGCATGTCCATACTGCGCGGCGTTTAAAAATTGTCCATCTTTACATTATGTGACACATATAAGTGATGTGGCAGATGATATAGAACTTATGATAAGGGAAGGGAAAGCAGACTACAGAATTGCAATCTAATCACACCAATTGGTGTAGTATGAGAGCCTCAGTTACTTTGCGCTAGTGTCATATCTAACTCGTATTTTTGTGTATAATATCATTGCTCATAATATGTCACTTTAAGGCGTCGCATCGTAGAAATTCACTCTCACCATTTTTCTAAAAGGCGGGAAAAATATAAGTTTAAAAAGTTACATTTATTTTTCAAAATAAGTAATTACTTTCTCGGTAGCCCCTTTATGTACATTTAGAAATGGACAACATTTTTACTCTCTTCTATTCTAGCTTTCCTTCTCATCCAGTAACATAATAAGTCTGTAAGATGTTAAATAATTTACGTTTTTTTTTTTTAATTTACAGGGTACAAATAAAGTAAGTACGCTATAGTATCCATTGGCAGAGCAGGCTGCAAAGTAACCTGGATTGGTGAATTTTTCATTATTTCGTTTTAACAGTCGATGATGAGAGTAATTGTTTGTTTCGTTGAAATATCATTTGGATGGTTCTAATTTTTATGGCCAATGTCTAATTTAGACACATTTTAATATTTTAAAAATAATTAAAAAATATGGCTGTAGGGCTTTGCAATAGCTTCTACTGTTGCATGAATTGATAAGCTCTTGCAATACCACAGAAACGTCAAACGAATTGATAATGAACTTTTCGTTCCAAAAAGCACCGATTACTCCATAAGTCAATAAAAGGCGTCCGCCAATCCGCAGTGGGCCGCGTGGTGGCTATGCCCTGATACCCTCTGTATAGAGGAGGCCTTTGCCCAGCAGTGGGACATGTATAGGCTGTTACTTTACTTTACTATAAACGGCAGTATTTAATTATTTATGTTCTTACGGTTCGCCAACATTAGACACATCAAGTAATGTTGGCCCCATCTGTTAAGCGTTTCAAAATTAAACTCTAAAAAAGTGGTCCGAGTTGGTCATAAATAATCACTGATTTTTGTCAATTGGTCAAGTTTTTGACACTAACTACAAACAGTTTAAAATTCTAAGGTCATCGGAAAAATTTTCGGTGTCCTTGAAACAGTAGGGCACAGAATCGTTTTTTTTTTTTTTTTTCCGACTTTACCCGTTATTCATCGTATCGTAATAAATAACATAAAATATACATCAAAGAAAAGATACGTCAACTATCGCAAACGAAAATAAATCGGAGAGGTTATCTTCTTTGTCTTCGGGTATCTTTTGTTTATTAGTTAACTTGTTTCACCGTTTTTCCCGTAAAATAAACGTAAAAAATAATTTTAATTTACAGTATAATAACAATGATGTAAGTATGTAACAATGCCGCTTTAAATACTCAGAAGTAACATAACGTACATGAAACGTATGCCTAATATTTATAATCAATTTCATTTTAATTACGCTTCCTATTTGTATTAACGTTTGAAAATATTAAATATCTATGTTTAATATCTGTGATATTGAATAACTATATTAACTTTATTATTAAGATAGAATTAAATAACAGAAATACCAACAATTTAGCAACAGGTTTTATGGAAAAAACCCTCTTTATATTTTCGAACCCAATTGTTATATTTTGGAATTCGCTTTGCATACTACAAAAAATACAAACGACGACTCCTAAAGGCTCGGTCAGACAGTGGACGGGGCGTGACGGCGACGCGACGTTGACGTGACGCGTCGCGATGTGGACGTCACACTGGAGGCGTGACGTCTGCGTCCCGCCCGCTGTCCTCACCGTACTGAGCGTGATATTTCAAGTGAATCAGATGTGGAAACGGTGTTTGCTATTATAAAGGCTGATTTTATAGTAAACTACAACATAGTCCGCCATGACCGGTTAGCAAACCGTCTGGGAGGCACATTAATTTACTATAAACGGTCCTTGCACTGTTGCCCGTTCGACATTCCAGAGCTAAGCCAAATAGAAGCATCCGCGTGTAGGTTAGCGCTCACCGGCCATAGGCCGCTTTTACTAGTCTCAGCCTACCTTTCGGGGAACAAAACCTTACTAAAAAGTGACCTAGATACGCTACTTAACTTAGGCCCTTCCGGGATAATTGCAGGAGATCTTAACTGCAAACATCTACAGTATCCCAAACAACAACGGAAAGCATCTCTTTAGCTTATCCGACAATTTAAACTTTAGCATAGTCGCTCCTGCGACTCCCACTAGGTATCCTACGGTGGACAACTACCAACACGCATCCCCGAGTATCCTAGACATTATGTTATTCAAGGAGGTCTCGCTCGACATCGAGTCGATAGAGACAATCCATGAACTAGACTACAGGCCCGTCCTGTGTAAACTGGGCTAGAACGACGGCGCTGTCCCTCCGACCAAATCCGCAGTGGACTGGCATCGTATTGAGGTCAAACTCAAGGCCTTGGACCCCCAGGACTTAGTCGACCTACCCGAGACGATAGCTACGTTCGTTGACGCAAATCGAGCGATAGCAAGTCTCCGAGAAACCATAACTTCCGCAGTCGCAGACTCGAAACGGACGGTTAAACTGTCGGGCGACCGACGGTTTAAGTTTCCGCCCGACCTGCGACTGCTAATTAGGCAGAAAAATGCAGCCAAACGCGCTTTCGATACCGATCGGAATCGAACCGAACCCTACTTCGACGCCTTCAGCTAGAATTCAAAGATCGTGTATCGGAACACCGACATACAACGTGGGACACTCTCCTAGAGGACATCGAGCCATCGCACACCGCCTACTGGCGGTTGGCCCGCAGTCTGAAAGCAGACTCCTGCGAATCTCTACCGCCGTTAGTTAGACCTAATGGCGCTTCAGTAGCCCTAGATGACTCCGAAAAAGCCGAATGTCTTGCGGACAACCTAGACGGCAATGTACGCAATCGCGCGAACGCTTCGATGTAGCCCACCTAACGGAGGTGGACCGCGTAATCGAGATTAGGGCTGCGCTACAACCGGAAGGCGATTCTTTGAGTTCAGTGACTCCCGAAGAGGTCCAAGATATTATTAAAAACTTAAAACCCAAATCCGCCCCGGGCCCAGATAATATTAGTAACAAAATTCTTAAAGCTCTCCCTGGGCCGCTTATCTGTTTACTGGCGACCATTTATAATACTTTACTCTCCAGTTGCTCCTTTCCGGACGACTGGAAAGAAGCCACGGTTATCGGCATTCGCAAGCCGAATAAACCAACCAACCAGCCCTCTAATTAACGTCCCATCAGCCTCCTCAGTTGCCTGGGGAAGCTCTACGAGCGGCTTTTATTAAACAGGCTCAATGAGCACGTGTTTTCCAACGGCCTTCTGCCGGCGGAACAATTCGGCTTTCGAGCTGGACATTCCTAAATCACCCTAAACATATTAGTACAGGGGCTCTTTTCTTCGATGTCGCAAAAGCATTCGAAAAGGTCTGGCACAATGGCTTGCTTTGCAAGCTGTACACACTCAAAGTGCCAGATAGGCTCGTACACACCATCCGGGCCTTCCTGTCGAACCGCTCCTTTCGATATCTAGTTGAAGGCACCGCCTCAAGGCCGGCGTACCACAAGGCTCCTGCCTCTCACCTTTGCTCTTTACGCTCTACACGAGCGATATACCTAAAGACCCCCACGTCAATCTCGCGCTTTTTGCGGATGACACGGCGCTCTTTTATTCAGACCGCAATCTTAGTCAACTAACCACTCGACTCCAAAGCGCTGCCGACCGCCTCGGCGATTGGTTCCGCAAATGGAGAATAGAAATAAATCCCGAAAAGAGTGTGGCGATTCACTTCACACGAAGTACTTACCCATCACATCTTTATAATGGCCCTCGTCAATGCAGAAAGTTGGGGCAAATATCCTTTTATGGCCAACCGCTCCCCTGGAAGAAAAAGGTCAAATACTTAGAAGTCACTTTCGACTCGCGTATGTCATTTACTACGCACATTAATAACGTTCGCAATAGAGCCGCGTTCGGCTACACAATTTAACTAACGCTAAAAGTAAAATGCCCTTAAGGCACAAATTATTATTATATAAGACCTGCGTACGACCTATTTTGTCCTACGCATGCATGACCTTCCCCCACACGCACCCTACTATTGTAGAAGTACCCTATAAATTTTGGGTGGTATGTTGTATTCCCGCCGGGGTTGGCGGGGTGACGCGGCCGCTAGCACCGCGCCCTTTGTGATGATGTGTGACATTTATATAAATTAGTACATTAAAACACAACGCTCACAACGCTCCAGCGTCGCGTCACCGTCCCGCCCCGCCCGCTGTCTGACCAAGCCTTTAAGAGTATTTCGAGCTATGAATAAGCTTTAATGACGAACTAGAAATTAAACAACGAAGCTTTAATGACGAAGTGAAAATCATCAATTTTTAAATGTATAATTAAAATTATTTACAAACGTTTATTTTAGGTATTTTACCAAGTGAAGTAAGTATTTAATTTATTAAGTTAAGATATATAATAGAAAATAATGAAATGGAAAGATAAACCTTTTGAAAGACGATAAGGCTAGTAAGAGAGTGAAAGATAGAGATGAATAAAAGGATAGCAGGTGCTACAACAACCCCAAGTAAAAGACAAGGGTAGTTAAAAGAAGACGAAAAGTTGGAACAATGATCAATGAAGGATTGAAAAATAGACTGTTAGGCAGCAACTTCCATCATAAGAAAACATTTATGCGTTCTAGTCATATATTCAAAAAAAAAAAATATTTCGTATGACTTCTCCCCTGTCTTTAAAGGGTTTGATACAGTAGGGTTTTTCATTTAATTTAATTTGACCAGCAATTCTTCAAGTGGTCTTTTTTACTGAATAGACTTGATACATTTTGTGAATAGTATATATAGGTTTTTCAGGTCATTTTAACAATTTTCCATTTTAAAATCACAATTTTTCATTTTCTAACAACAATTTTTTATTTCAAAATAACAGTAAATAAAACTGTTAGATCGGTCATCTCTAGATGCAAATATCTATTTAGACCTTCTAGGAGACAGATACTATAAAAAGACATCAACGAGTGAAATAAAAAAATCGTTTTCTGTTTTTCGGTTACGATTTCCATTAAAACTTACACGCTGGGTGGGTTGTTGTGCCAGTTTTTCTTATTTTATTGTTAATATCTCTCATTTAATGTTTAATTTGTTAACGTCTTTTTTCTAATAGTTTTTTTAATAAAAAAATGTATACATCTATTTCATGTTTGGAATAAATTTAATTTAAATATTATATTTATTTATATAATATTCTCTTGTAATATTATTGATCTAAACATTGTTTTACAGACCAGAATTCTATGTTGGAACGTAATTCATCAGAAAACTTTAATAATAGTAAAATATTTAATAAAGATTTTCAGTGACGAAATCGCGTCTTATTATTCCCCCTCTTTGAGACTATGATTTTACTACCATTTAATTCTTGAGATCATTTATTTATGAATATGAAGAAATTACAACGTACATTAAAAATATATTGATTGCTAATATAGTTATTAAAATTAATAATTCATAACCACAATGTTACAAAACTAAAGTTCGTTTGGTCTTGTTTCGCGTTGCAATGGAGATGTTATGGTATGATTTTTCCATGGAGATAGCTAGGAGGCTGTAGAGAGACATAGGCTACTTTGGCCGAAGAAGGTATTAGGTCCTTTATAGCGAGACAAGCTATGGCAGCTAGACAGCTATCCTTTTTTTTTGTTGACATGGGGGAAATGCCTCCGCATACCCGCCCTCGCGGGGGCAAGAGCGGGTTATGTCGGACTTGCACCAACTAAAACCCACACGACGTTACACCTAGGCCCATATGGCAGGGTCACGGGAACGCTTTCGCACACTTCCGCGACCCTGCCAGCGCTGGCCGCCTTAGCAGCACCCTCACGGAGATGGCTCCCCTCTCCTCCAGGTACGGCGCGCTGGAACATTCAGCGCGCCTTCCTACTCGGCTCCATTTTCACGGCCAACGAACTCCCGCGAGTTCGCTGACCGGCGCTATGGGAGCCAGAAGAACCAGTGCTAATAAGCAGCAAGCCTCCCAGCCCCCAGCAGCGGACCTAGTCTGTGGCTCCGCTGCTCACCACGTTTCGACCGCGGAGGATAGGGAGAACGGTGCACCGCAATACCGACACTCCTCTTCCCCCGCGGCCCCACCACCACTGCATTAGCGGTGCAACCCCGCCGAGTCGCGGAGGTTAGGGAGCACGGCCAACGCAATACCGACACTCCTCTTACCCCACGACTCCTCCTCGGTAGCAGAAGACAGGGAGAGTTGCTCCACCTCTACCACCCTCGACCTGTCCCTTGCACTCTTCTTCAGCACGCATCCGGAGTGGGCTCAATGAGCCAACTCGGAGCGCCACTCTCGGGACGGCCTTGCACCACAGGCCGGCCCAGTGTGGGTTCGTCTTAGCTTCGCCGTGGGGGACCAAGCCACGGCTAATAAGCCCCTCCGCCACGTCAAGGCGGGAACCCGGTTGGAGGGGTCGTGGCAGCTATCCTGCCAGTCTTCGAAGCCTAAATGCAGCGACGGGAAGGCAGGCATACAGACTTACACAGATTAGCATTGGGCATGGATGCTTGGGTGATTATCTGTTTAAAATCGGACGTAAGGCGACGGTGAATTATTTTCAATGCGATGGACGCTACCAGGATTCCGTAACGCATACCCTGACAGAATACCCAGCATGGGAGATGGAGCGGAGTATCCTGGTAAGATACATTGGACGAAGCCTATCTTTACCAGCAGTCATATTGGCGATGTTTAGTCAAGATGAAGCATGAAGGGCCGTAACCTCTTTCTCCGAGACGATGATGGTCAAGAAGGAGGCTGCTGAGAGGGACCGAGAGAGGACAGATCCCTCTCGGAGACCGGGTCATCGAGACGAGGTTTCATCTCGTTACGGTCCTCCTACTGGAAACGGGACCTCAGGGATCGCGGGCGACTGGTCAATAGCTTGAAGTAGGTTCAAGCTATCGTGGTTGCACCATTTTTGAAAGGGAAAGCCAAGTTTAATTGTGAACGCCGCCCGATATATTAACGGTAAGAACTCCAATTGGTCTAAGATCCGGCAGCAGAATTAGTGCACTTGTGGGTTAGTAGGATGGAACTGAAAGATATACTAACTCCACATTGAATATATGTATTGAACAATTATAATTTGCAATTTACAGCTAGGAACATAGACGTTATAGCAATCGCGCGGCGGACGGGCAGACTCTCCCGAAGTACGCAGAATCACTGACGTCCAGAAAATCCGAGCGCAGTCGACGATGCACGAAGGCGCCCGAGTGTATTCAAAATAACGGCTCGCCGTGCGACGGCGATTAGCTGTTATGTCAGTTGTAGACAGGCCGCCACACACTCATCGAGTATTTGCTAAAATCCAATTCTATCTAGTCCATCCATTTTTACGCATATTTATGATTAGAGGAATATATACACACCGGCACAATTAGCGGAACAGAAAAAAAGTGAGACAATAACGCATATATTTGACGAAAATGTAATTAGACACAAAATAACAAATTGATTAACATCTTTTAACAACGACTTTGAAAAGTCTTCGTTATTTTTTATTGAAAAATAAAGAAATTGGAAATAAGTGAAATTTTTAGATGATTATGAACCAACCAAAACAAAAAATAAAAAAAAGTAAGCATTAAATGATTTAACAATAAAATTAAAGCAAAATTAATAACGAGTGTTTCCCCCTCTTGCTCTGATTACGGTTTCCATTCGTCTGGGCATGGTACGGATTATGTTTTCGATGATTTCTTGAGGCAACCGCTCCCACTCCTCAATTAATGCGTTTCCAAGTTCATTCAGATTGTTGGGGGGTGGCATTCTGGATTTAACCCTTCTAATTAGCAAGTCCCAGTCATGCTCTATCGGATTCATATCGGGGGAATTTGCTGGCCACTGCATCACCGGTATAGCTACGTGGCTCAGATATGCCTGTACCGATTGTGCACTATGAGCACGAGCATTATCTTGCATTAGAATAAAGTCGTCACCAATAAATGGGGCAAATGGTACAACATGTTCTTCTAAAATGTCTCTGATGTGTCGATCTGCTGTCATGGTCCCTCCTGTGACTATCACTAACTCCGTGCGAGCTCCCAAACATATCTCTCCCCAAACCATAATCGAGCCGCCACCATAAGCCACTGTGTGTTCAAAATTAGACTGTATGTGGCGTTCTCCTTTGCGTCTCCATATTCGCTGTCTCCCATGGATCTGTTTTAAAAGAACTCTGCACTCATCAGTAAAGAGAACCTGCTGCCATTCGTTCAAATCCCAATGACGATGTTCTCGCGCATAGCTTAATCGGTTTACGCGGTGACGTCTCAAGTTTTGGGCCTTTGGCAGGTATATACGACCCTAAACCAACTTCTTCAAATCGCCTGCGAACTGTACGCTCACTTACTCGTACTCCTCGAACGTCTTCCAGTTCATTTCGAGCTTGTACAGCCGTTAATCGCGTATTCCTACGAACTCCAAGTTGTAAAAACTGTCATCTCGCCTCGATGTACATCTTTTTCTACCTTGACCCCTCCTCCTCACAAGAGAATTAGACGATCTGTACCGCTGGATGCTGCGATGAATCGTTTATACTGGTCGACGAAGCCTTGAGGCAATCGATCTGTAGGTATGGCCATTTCTTCTCATTTCATCAGCTCTAATGATTTCCAGTGATGTTTAGTCAGGCATAATAAAGAGCTTTTAATAAACAAAATTGCCTATAGAATAACAAATTTATAAAAAACCATTAAGTGCAATTTTTCAAAGTTGACAAAACGTATTGTTCGGGAAAATAAAACAAATGAATGAAAAAAGTGTATGTCATCTAATTTTCTATTTTCAAATTTGACAATAAATTAAAAAAATATCATAACTGGCCAGTTCCTCAAGTAAAAGATTTTAAAATCCTGCTTTTTTTTGTGTTCCTCTAATTGTGCCGGTGTGTATATATTTAATGGATTGCCTATCAAAATGTGGCCGCTAATATTTTTAAGTAAATTACTGTAAATTGATTTTTCGGAAAAAAAATCATTCACTTGTTTTTAGGGCCTTAAAAGTCAAAAAATAACACTTATATAATCATCGCTCTCTTGAACGTCTGTCTGCCCGTGTGTCACCACCGATTTTGTCAGGAATGGGTGGACCTAGCAAGTTGAAACCTGCAGACCAGATTCATTGTGGCCTTTCGGCTAAAGCATCGACCAAACAAACGGGAAAAGTACAAAAATGGTTGCTCGCTTGTAATATGATTTTTCATAATAATTAGCTTTGATATAATTATGTTCGATGAAAGTGACGTTCTTCGGTTGGTTTTGCTTAGGTATTTTATTTTTTATGTTTTACTTTTTTATACAGTAAGATTTTTTACCTTTTACCTCACTCCCACTTTTTTATCTATATCTCATATTTTTGTTTTATTCTATGGCACCAATTAAGGAGTCTTGTTATTATTTTTTTATAGCTT